TTTCACTTAATATTTTTTTAGGAAAGAAAAGTTTTACTTTCCATCCAGCGAGAAGATTCTTTTAAACGGCGTCCAAATTTAAATAGTTTAGGAACCTTCTTGTGTGTGTGTGTTGCCCAGGAAATCTCTATAAGTATTTTTTTGACTTCTTTGTAGTTACTCCAACCAGTCTCTCTTTATTCACTTACTTACTACCCAGCTCTCCAACCAAACCAAGAGTGGCCGTTCGCAAAGGTTTCGGTTTGTTTGCTTACCCTCTCTCCAGCCCAGTAATTGCTCAGTTCCCACTTTCAACCCCCTATAAGTGATACCCAAATTCGCTACTGAATGTCGAAGTAGTAGATAGATTTGTATACTTTGGCTCCCTGATAACCAACAATAGCGATAGCTTCTCAGAAATCAAACGTAGATTAGCAATAACTCGAACCGCAACACCTAAATTAATTAAAATATGGAAAGACCGAACAATAACAAGGAATCCTAATCTTAGGTTGGTCAATGCCCTTATTTTTCCTATTGCTATATACGCAGCTGAGCCATGGACTCACAAAAAAATCGATAAAAGCAAGATTTCTTCAACAAGAAGCCTTCAACATGTAGATCTACAAAAATTCTACGCCTAGACAGAACAGAGAACCAACCTGTAAATTCTGGAAGAGCTTCATATAAGATTGGTAGTAAAAGGAAATGTAAAATACCGAAGACCAAGAGGAAGATATACAACAAGACAGGCAGACCAAATGAAGACTCTGGTGGGAAACTCCCTACATGAAATAGTTCATATTGCACAGGATTGTAGCTAATGGAGACAGCAAGCTAACAATATTTGAGTGTCACCGTGCCCTGACAAGGGGCCAAAAAAATGAGAAAGGAAACACTCATGGACTGTTCGATCTGTCCAATTTAAAGTTATGCAGGCAGAACAGTTGTTTTCGTTCGACCCAGAGTTTCCTTCTATTTTATACGCTATCTTACCTTATCCAGGTTCGTTGGATATGTGTGTTTTTCATGGGAGTTTTTACATGCTTAGGCAACACTATAACTCAAAAGTTTTTAATCTATTTAGATTCTTCACTTTTAATGTCCAGGTTTCTGACACTAAAGGCATAACACTTTAATAGTTTTGGACGCGTGTTCGGCGAGAGAATTCTATTGCATAATACAGAACGCAAGTTAATGAATCATTTGCGCGCGTCGAGATTCTAAAGTATTTCACCCTGTCTAGTGTTTTGTCGTGTAATTTAGTTCTGATTGTTCAAAACTGATTTATCCGACTACCATCTATTCCGTTTTCTTTGCAATAATAGTTAAACCCTTTTCATTGCATTCATTGTTTATATTCTCTGCCAGTATGGAGGTATCATTGCGTACCTAGTATTGTTAATGATTTCTCCACCGATTTTAACCCCTTTGATCAAGTTTACTTCAAACACCAATTCAGAATAGAGATTAAACAGCATCGGCTACATAACACATCCCTATCTTAAGCCACACTTAATAGGAATTTAATCTGAAACCTGGTAATACTAGGGGTATCATTGTTGTAAAGATTTTTTAGCAATCCGATACTCCAGTGATATTGTAGGAGAGTTCTGAGCTTTGTAGATTCTCCTGAGCCTAAACATTAATTGTAGAGCAAAGTAAAATATTTTCTGATCGAATATCGGCACCTCGGTAGGTCTTTACCGTTTATACACAGGTTTTTAAAGCTTCAAATAAATATTTTCAAATTTTATGTTTAATGTTTAATAATTAAACAAAAATGTGTTTTATTTCAGGTATTATCGGTAAGAAACACGTAGGCCCACAAGAAGTGTATCCATTTGATTTTGCTGAAACGGAAGAAAACAATTCTATATTACAAGTAGGAAGAAATATTACTCATATTAAATTGTTGACAAGACAATTCTTAAACACTTCAGAGTAAGTACTAACACCATATACGTACAGATTATTCGATTAATTATTTTTCCTCTATAGCAAGTCGGATACTTGTGGTTGGTTTCAAAGTTTGATGCACCTTCTTCGATCTTCGTATTTCTTGTTAAATACTAAAATTTTTTTGACTGCTTTGATTGGTGCATCAAGCTGCTTACATACCGAGTAGTTGTCTATTGAAATCTTGTTTTAGTTGGTGAGATATTGGTTTTGTAAATATCATGCTATACATACGTCAGTGGTGATAGTACTGCCACTAATTATCTCACCCTGGTTTACTGAAACAGTTAGTTAAATTTCAATTTAAGTTTCTGGTATAACACTCTATCTCTCTTTAATTATTTCCTCAATAATGAGTGCCGTGATTTCCTACAATACGAACAACTATTTCATTCCATCGGCTTCTATCATGGGCTGCTCTCATGGACTCTGAGAATGTCTTGCCACTGGCTTTCTGCACTTGACCTGTCAATCGAATGGGTGAGCGACTTTCAACACTTGCTGAAATTGTAGATCTCTTAAGATTATGATTATTGGCTCTTGCAATATGGCCGAAAAACTTTAAGACGCCTGCGAGAAAAATAGAGGAGATTTTGGTTAGATAATTCACCTTGTTAACCATTTCAAGTCCAAGTTTGAATAACCTACTATCATAATTTTTTTATCTTGAGACCATATATATCGCTTTAAGTTTCCACTGGTAATATTAGGCTTGGCATGTCTTCTTCGGGTGCAGTTGTTAGAGTTTTATCGTCTGCATTTCTAAGGTTTGCTTGGCATAGACATACCGCCATTCCATTTTTTTAGTGCTTTTCTCTTTGCATATTCCACATAGAATAAATATTATATTTATAGAGGATTAAACAACAATTGATTGTAATAAAAATTACATTTTACATTTGTTTTGAATGTTCCGATTTAAAAAAAAATATTAAAGATTATTATAAAATAAGAAGTTATTTAACCTGCAGTTGTACTCTCGGATTGATATCAAATTCTATTAATCCATTAATATTGGTACATGGCATATGTTGTTGTTGCTGATTTCTTCTTTTAGTATTGGGAACCAGAGAACCTTCACATTATTCTTCATTAAGTAAGATGAGGGCTGCTTTTTTCATTTTTCTCTTTTTGCAGTCTGTTCTTTTCATGACTATTGATGTATGTTTCCATTGTACGTTGTGCTAATATTATTTCAGGTATGTTTGCATATCTGGGATCTATCGAAGTATTTGCTTTTGATGTGTGATTCATGCTCGTTCATCCTAACCCTTAGTGGTCCTGAGGTTTGTCCTACATAAAAATTGTTGCAAGATATTTTATTGGTAATAATTGGGAATATTGGTAATAATAATTGGTTTTTTGATATCTCCTGTATGTTGTTTAGTTTAGTTTTGAACAGAATATATCTCAATGAATTGATTGTTTTGAACGTTGTTGTGAAGTTGTATATTTTTATACAATACGTTCGGCTTCAATATTCAGATCGATATGTTGAATGTTCTTTTTACTGATCACCATAAATTTAGTTTTCTTTCTATTGATCTTTAGTCCAAATCGGTTGCCAGTTGTATTTACTCTATTTAGCATCATCTGTAAATATTCGATGTTATCGGCCAGTATAACAGTATCATCTGCATATCGAAAACTACTTATTGGTACGCCATTAATCTTGGTGCACTCGTTATACTCTTCCAGTGCCTCTAGAAATATTTGTTCCGTGTACATATTGAAAAGCAGTGGCGAAAGAATACAGCCCTGTCTAATCCCTCAAATGGTTACGTTTACACTCACCATATGTCCATTCTTCATGTGGGCTGTTTGATTCCAATATAGATTTTTTATAATCTGGATGTCCTTAGTGTCAAATCTTGTAAGATGTAATAGTTCTATGAGTTTGTCCTGTTTGATAGTATCGAATGCTTTCTCGTTTTTGAATCAAGACTTGTATTGCAAAGGGAGGCTCTCGAGTTCTAAAACCGCATCTAAAACCGAACTGTGTTTTACTTATGCTGTGTTCAAATTTTGCTCGTATTCTGGAATGGATAATACGCAAGAATACTTTAAGGGTGTGACTCATTAAACTTATAAGGCGATATTCACTACACGTCTTAGAATTCGATTTCTTTGGGAAGGGGCACAAATGTAGATTTCATTCAGTCCGATGGAATTTAACAAGTATCGTATATCTTATTAAACAGTTACAATACTACATTCAGGTTGTTCTCGTTAAAAACTTTTAAAAATTCGACTAGTATTTCATCGCATGACTATATCGTGTTCGTAGAAATATGACTATAATCCGTAAATAAATCTTTTATGTAATTTGCCCAAGTCTGTAACTTTTATTCTTTATCTACAATAAGTTTATTGTTCTGGTCTATTAACCTACCAAACTGTTTTTTTTTTCTAGTAAGTATAAGTAAACTCCTTGATTTTTTAAGCATGTTAAAGCTATCGTGTCTTCGTTCTAGATCTTCTATCTCTTGACGTTTTTCTTGTGACCATTTCTCTTTGGATTCTTTTATATTTCTGCTGACAGTGTAATATTTCATCTGTCATCCATGCGTTCTTCTTCTTCCGCTCGTAGTCACCAATTACTTCTTTTGCACCGTTGCATATAGCGTCCCTTAAGTTGATCCAGTCTCTTTCAATATCATCAGTATTGGTTGTTAAAGCAACATTACTATTAGTGCTATTTGTAAGCTCGCCTTTTATCTCGGGATTTCTAAGTTGATCCATATCTAATCTTTTGTTATTCTGTTTCTGGATTAAGGTTTTTATCTGACTCTTAATTGGACTACAAGACGATTATGATCAGAGTTTATATCAGCTCCAGGATATGTTTTGGCTGATATTATTGCGTTACGGAATCGTTTGTTAATTGTTATGAAGTCTATCTAATTTCTAACGATGTATCCAGTCTGTCCTGTGGAAACCTCCAAGTGTACAATCTTCTTAATGGTAACTTAAACCAAGTATTAGTGATAAGTAAGTTTTTCTCCTGACAAAACTGTATTAGTCAATCACCTCGCTCATTTCTTGTTCCCAACCCATACTTGCTTAACTGACTTCGCCTTTTCATACTTTGGAGTTAATATCCCCCATTACCATGGTTATGTCTTGTTTCTTTAGGTTTTTTATAATTTCGTCTAATTGTTCGTAAAACTCTTCAACTTCTTCATCCGTACTCTCCGATGTGGGAGCATAAACCTGAATTATATTTATGTCTAGAGGGTGCGCACTTATCTGGATCAACATGCAGCGTTCTGAATATGGAATAATTTTTTTATATGTTTTTGGATTTTATTATTTACTAGAACCGCTACTCCATGTCTATGGTTGACATCTTCTTCTCTGCTGCCTGAAAAAAATATTGTTGCATTCTCCTTCTCGCACTTACCATTACCTGGCCATCTTATTTCACTCATCCCCAGAATATCAATTTTGAGCCTTTTCATTTCATTAATTGCGTTGTTTAGTTTTCCAGTCTGATAAAGAATTTTTACGTTCCATGTAGCTATCTTAACAGTATTTTTTCTGATATTTTATTTATTTTATTTGTTTTATCCAGTCGCATATTTCGCATCGGCATAGCTGGTCTCAGATTTCACATCGTCCAGCCCGGGAACTCGACGACGCCGGTTGCTAATCGGGTCGCATGGCATATCATCTTTAAATCTCCTACTCGTCATGATGGTTTTACTAGCGATATATAATGTAGTCATCCCGTGGCTTTTCACATCCTTATGCCGTTGACTACTTAATAGTTCCTCCGCTTTCGAAGCCGATTTCTCAACTCCAGGACAAAAGAGTGTCCTACCACTTACCAACTCATCCGTCCGAAGCCGTTGATCAGCAAGTGGGACATAGCTTATACCAGCAATCACTCGGTATTGAGGAATTTAGGAGTGTGTGAATTGGGAGCGGCGCAAGTTAACCAATACTTACCAAAAACCTTGAAAATCTTATTTTCGAAAGCAATAATATTGTTAGCACTAACACAGTATCGGTACCAACACTTGTATCATACTGCTATCATACACTAAACTCTGGCTGCTAACGTATTGTAGTCAAAGGTGAGAAACATTGGAACATATGTGCGGTCCTGACTGAAGACAGTGTTGCCAAAGTTGTCATCATCATCAGTTGGCGCTACAGCCCTTCGTGAGCCTTGGTCTGCTTCAAAACATTCTTCCATCCTTCCCTTTCGAGTGTCTGTCTTCTCCAGCCCCTCACTCCAATCTCCCTCAGATCTTCCTGTACGTCGTCCAGATATCTGAGTTTAGGTCGCCCGCTTCTTCTTCTTCCGACCGGCCTGTTTAGCATAGTTATTTTAGTGGAATCACTCTCATCCATCCACATAACGTGGCCCACCCACCTTAGGCGGTTTATTTTGATGGTCTTCACAATATCTGCATCACCAAAAAGTCTATAGAGTTTAAAGTTATATCGCCTTCTCCACAGACCCTGTTCGTTTACTCCGCCATATATGGTCCTCAATACTTTTCATTCAGACTCGTAGTAACTCTTCATCTCGGGTCGTCATTGCCCATGTTTCCGATCCGTATGTGAGCACTGGTCGTATTATTGTTTTATAAAGTCTGCTCTTTGTGTCTATTATTATGATTTTTTTTAATTTAGAATTTCCGGATCCACCATTAAAGGTTATTAGTGAGTTTTACAGATTTTACAGTTGTTATTAAATATACTAATTACAAAGTGCGTATTAAATTACAAATAATAAATTACAAATTACAAAAAGATACTTCTATAGAAGATACCACTATAATATAACTTAAATTTTGTGTAGTAAACGTATGTCCTTAAGGAATTTGATTGTATTTGATATATTACTGTTTAACATATCTTTAAGTTTCGTTGCTTCTTCTGGTACGTTGTTGATGGCTCTTTCGTAGGAATAAAGAGGACATTCAATCAATACATGTTGAACAGTTATTGGACATTCACAATAGGAACATTCAGGTGGTAGTTCTTTTGTTATGAGATGCTGGTGAGTTAACGCTGTATGTCCAATTCTTAGTCGGTTTATAATCACTTGTTGCCGTCTGTTTTCTGGAAATTCTAGTTTAGTGCCAATCCTATTATGATTGTTGTTATATATTTATAATATTTCTCTTTATAAAACAAATCCAAAAAGATCATTAATTTGTTATACTTATATAAACATTTTGAACGTAATAATATTGTATAATAAATACAGCATCATATTATTAGATTAGATCAAATAGTATTAGACCCAATACTATGGTCTCAGCTAAATATTGTTTGAAAATACCATTCTTTCGATTTTGAAAATGTACAGATGTTGGAAGAATAGCCAAATTTTAATTTTTAATTTAAAATATTTATACTGAAGATGATTCGTATTAAAAAACACTTCTTTCATGTCAGATTTGTCGATATCTTAAATATAATAATTATAATTAAATAAATCAATTATTATTAGTACATTTGCTACGATATTGGAACTTTGAACATCTCTAAGTACACAGAATCTAAGGTCAAATATTTGATTGTTTCAGTCCATTCTTTCTATATATCGGATTTCACGACCCACATCGATGCGGACACACTAATCCTGAATATGGTGAGTTCTGTCAGAAATTTGGTAATGGAGAACAAGGAATGGGTGTGATTCCCGATTGGCACCCTATTATCTACCAGCCAGAACAACTGCAATTGCCGTATTTTATTCCAAACACTCTTGAAGCTCGAATAGACGTAGCGCACCAGTACACGACCATATCAAGACTTGATCAAGGTAATTTTAATCTTTCGTTTTTAAACGTTTTATTTATTAAGTGATGAATTGGACCGTTACTTGATGGAAATTCATTTTATATAACAATAAAATACTGAAAACTTTGTTTTTAAAACTTCCACAAAATTTATTATATCTTCCTTAAAGTTCCTTCCATAAAAATAGCTTCTATTTTGCATGTGAAGAATTTGAAATTCTTCATTACAAGGATGATTATGCAATTATTATTGAAAACCCTTTTATGTTCAGCTATACGTTTGTTAAAAGTTCTGCCAGTATGACCGATGTAAGTTTTTGGACAGTCTGTTTAAGTGTTTTTTATTTTGGCTCTTGTTGTTTTTAATATATTTGCCTAAGTTGTTGTTTGTTCTAAAAGCTGGTTGTTCCTTTCTTTTTTATGTTTGGCTATTTTTGTTGATATCTTGCCAATAAATGTAATCGAGCTGAAGGTACTGGGTTTTTCCTCTGGTGGTGGAAATACTAATTTCAGGGCTTTCTTATGTATTTTTTTATTTAAAATTTTATTTATTGTTTGTTCGTTGTACTCATTGTTTACTACTGCTATTTGCTTAATGATATTTAATTCTATCTCAAAGTTGTATTTTGACATCAGAATTTCTATTAATTTATGTAACATGCTATGGTAGGCTGTCAATTTATGTTGTGTAGGATAGGATGATGGATTGTGTATAATAGTATCAGTGTGGGTAGGTTTGTGAAATACGGAGAACTCATGTTTGTTTTTAAGTCTGATAATTTTTAAATCTAAAAAATTTATGGATTGATTTTGTTCTGTTTCTATTGTAAACAAAGTTTTCAGTAATCGAGTCAGAGTTTTAACCTTGTTTAAGCTTTGCGCCTCTTCAAGTAAGGGTTGCTCCTTTTTTCGGAGTAGTGGTGGTGTGGTAAGCGTGATTTCTGATCTGTTGTGTGGATAAGAGGTGGACTACTAAGGAGGTGGGGTTCAGAAGGTGGGGTGTTTGTGTGGATGATGTGTTAAAAGCGCACAAGAGGAATTTTAGGTGAACTATGCCAAACATGTCGAAGGAGGTACTTCAGGGGTTATCAGCCATACAGTAGGAACGGCTCTTAATCAGCATTTTTGCCGTGCAGTTGTTAGCTGCGATATTTAATGGAGATTGATTCTAAAATTTCAAAATACTCATCAGGGAGTTCGTGTCCAGTGATATGTAGAAGTTTAGCTGGAGGGAACGGAACTTTTCTTTAATAGTTGTTTCGCTCAGTTGTTCGAGCCTGTGATGGTTTAAAGGACATATCTCCTGCTCCTGCCGAGGGATAGGATTCTGTCCTTAATAGGTGTTATGTTTGCCAATATGTGTATGTCTGCTGATGGATACTGTCTGCTCACGCTCATGCAGGATATGAGGATTTTTTTTCAGTAGCCGCGATGGCATTGATTTGATAGGGTTTGAGGAAGGCGTAGATGCATGCCTTGTATTCGGTAATAGGTCTAATGAATGTTATATAGGTGTGCAATAGTGTGTTAGATGCCGTCTTGCTCCATTTGCCGGATAGCACTGTCAGGAGATTAGCCCTCTTTCTCACCCTGTCAAGTATTTTTTGAATGTCGGTTTTCAGTTGAGAGTCCTAATAAAATGAACTCCCAAATAGGAAACCTACTTTCTGAGAATAAGGTCCTCTCCTAACAGAGTTATTCGCCCTCGGACCTCACGACAATTTGAATATTTAAATAGAATTAGTTGTGTTTTGGAGGGATTTATGGTCACTCTCCATTTATTGCACCACCTAATGACTCTGTCTAGAAAATTTTGTGCTCTTTCGAATACAGACAATTGTCCACGCTCTCTATGTGGTCCTGACGTGAGGAGAGCAGTGTCATCAGAGTAAAGTAGAAGGGTCTCCGATCCATGCTGTGGGCGGGGGATTCATTTGTATTTATTTGCTATTTGTAATAGTCCACTCACTGTTGCTTTTATTTTATCCCTGTTTGACGATTTACAGTGATTCATATCTCTATTATCGCTGTATTAAGATTATAATCTTTTAGATAACTTTGATAGGTCCTTTTTGTATCATTATCCTTACGGATGTATTTTACGTTTTGAGTTTTATAGTTGAACAAAACTCTGGATTACCACGAATAGTTGCTGGCCAAAATAAATTCTTTAATCCTTTAATAAAGTTTTTGGATATTTTTAGGTGTTGGTCTTATTATTGATGAATTAAAAAAATCTGGTCATTATGACAATACCTTGATTATATACTCGAGTGACAACGGAATACCATTTCCAAACGGAAGAACTAATTTGTACGATTCCGGCGTGGCGGAACCATTGCTAATTTCTTCTCCGTTACATAAAGAGAGAAGAAATCAAGTGACCAATTCATTAGCCAGTTTGCTAGATATCGTTCCTACATTATTAGATTGGTATGGAATTAAGGATGAGAATAATATTGAAGAAAACACAGTTGGGAAGAAATTCGATTACTTAACAGGAAAATCATTGTTGCCACTTTTGATTAAAGGTAATTTTAAAAAATTTCCGTTTCATTTTAAACATTAAATTTTATAAGATTTTGTAAATAGGATATATACATATAATAATAAATAAGATTTCAACGTATTTGAAACTCTTAAATGTGAAAGAAGATTAGAATCAATTACCTCTCTCTCCCCGTCTCTCTCTAGTCGCTTCCTCATTACTGAATGTCGTGATTTCCTACCACGCGAGCAACTATCTCTTCCCATCGACTTTTATCCTGGGCTGTTCTCGTGAACTCTCAGAATGTCTTGCCACTGGATTTCTGCACTTGAACTGTGCATCTCGTGCGTGAGTGACCTCTGCCTCTGCGATCTTCAATGAGGTTACAAGTCTCTCGAGACTATCATTACTTCTCCTTGCAGTATCTCAGAAAAACTTAAAGATGCCAGCGAGACTAGAGGAGAGTTAGATCTGAATGTTAAACTCATGGAGGAATGAGTGATTTGTTTTGTGCTCTGTCCATGAGATCCGAACCATTCTCCTACAGCACCACATCTCGAAAACGTCATAAGGTACATATCTCATTTTCAAACTGGTGCAAGGCCCCGGTTATTTGAATTTGAATAATCGACTATCATAGTGTTTGTTATTGTTTATTGATTTTGTATCATGTGATCCTATCTATTACTTTTGGTTTCCACCAACTATAGCAAGTTTCAATTTTTTTGTTTCTTCAAATGCAGATATTAGAGTTGTATCGACTGCATATCTAAGGTTTGAGATCTTTTTGTCTGCGTTAGAGATAGCGCCTTTCCATTGGTCAACTACTTTTACTGACTTTAAAGGCTTGAACTTATGGTTTTAAATTCTTATTCTGGCTTCATTATTCGCTTCACTCCATAGTGTATCATCTCAACCAGGTGATTTATTTCTTTTAAGGTGTTTTATGGCTTCCACAACTTCAGAATATCTGTTTTTAGGTTTGTTGATGTGATTTCTTGTGCTGTGATATGGTTTCATGTTAGAAGTTTCCCCTTTGTATAGTTATGTGCAGTATTTCTCCAGAACCAGTAAGTCTCCAGAACCGCGTCCATATTACTTACCAAATTACTTGTTTCATCTTTTAAAGTATAGTTTCTGAGTTTAAATGCCCGATCAATAATATTCACTTTCGAAAATAGATTTCTTGTTTCATATCAATGGGTGTGAATTTCTATTTCTGGTAGATATTAAAAATATAATCATCCTTATCTTTGCAATATTTTCGTTAAAGTTCTTAAGACGAGGTTTTACAGTCACTTAAATACTAACTGCTAATTTTAAGATGCCTTCTGTCGTGTTATCAAAGAGGGGTTACAAATAATAATCGTTACTTCACAACATCAGTTTATTCTCAACCCTCAAACATACATGCTTGCCCGAGCTTCGGCTACGTTCACATGACATCCCTGTCATCTGTGTTGCCTAACTCCGGCGCCTATATCTTAATCTAAGCTAACAACACATCTCCTTTTTTTTATAAAAGATCCCTGTGTCATTAATGATCTTATACCTAAACTAACTTAAACTACTACAAACATAATCTGTTAAATGAACCGGTTTCTTCACAAGTCTTTTTGGCCTGCTAGGCTTTAAGCACTCAAAGTCCGATACACTATCGCTTTTATCCTGACCCGATGGAGGTAAAACATGATTTCCACTTTGTTCGATTTTGTCCTGAAATACACTGGGTTCCCCCCTACTACTTTCCTCCATTATTTTACCCTGTATGTCACCATTGCTTTGATTAGAGCAAGGCATTAGCTTTGTGTTACTAGAAATTGGCGGAACATAATCATTTGAGGATTCTGGTTGGGTGCTCAATACAGGGAAACAGTAGGGTGCATGAATCAAATGCCATCTATTTCTTCTAAATTTCCCGGTTTCAGTTTCAATTATATAGGACCTGGGTTCCTGACAGATCGCAACAACTCGCCCATATTTCCTGATATCAACCACCCACACAGAATCACCAACCTTAAGAGGATCTAAATCCTTGGCATTGTGTCGCTTATTGTAGTTTTTCACTTGTTTATCCTTTATTTCATTCTTTTTATTTTTAGTGTTTGGTTCTTTTGAAAAGTTTAATAAGCTTGGAAGCTGGGGTAAGTTAGATCTTAATTTTCTATTCATTAATAATTCAGAAGGTGAAACACCACATTCTAGGGGTGTACATCTATATGCTAACAATGCCAAACTTAGGTCCTCTTTTTTATTTTTCTGAATTAATCTTTTTGCAATTTGTACAGTGCGTTCCACTCCACCGTTGCTCTGAGGCCAGTGCGGACTGCTCGTCGTATGAACAAAATTATATTCTTTTGAAAACTTTATAAATTTTGATGAAAATTGAGTACCACAGTCGGATCTAACTTCCTCTGGGATACCATAACGAGAGAAAATATCTTTAAGCTTAGGAATAATGGCATCTTCTGTCATATTGGTTAAAGTAAAAATTTCAAACCAATGTGAAAAGTAGTCAGTGGCAATCAAATACCACTTATCATAACATTTAAACAAATCAACCCCCAGTTTTTGCCACGGCCTTTGTACAGTATTGTCTTTATGAAATGTTTCTCTATGATTTACTCTGTGTTCAACACATTGGGGACAATGTGTGACAAGGTTATTAATCTGGGATGACAAACCCAGCCACCAAACGCTCTGTTTGGCACGATCTCGACATTTTACAATTCCCATATGGCCTGTATGAATAAATTCCAACACCTTGAGTTGAAGACTCTTAGGAATGATTATGCGAGACCCTTTTAAAAGTAATTGTTCCGAATAGGAAATTTCATATCTATATTGATAGTATGGCAACAATTCAAATGGCAATTTAGATCTTTCAGGCCAAGAAGACAAAGAATATTCTTTTAGTTTTTTACAAATATATTCATTTTCTTGTTCTGTTTTTATTAAATTCAAAAAATAATCTTTAATTGGTAAATTATGAATAATTGACTGCACATATGCTGCAGTTTCAGCAGTTAGTTCTTTATTAGCTAACGTATCTGTTTGTAAAGGGGCCCGACTTAAAGTATCTGCTACAATTAAATTTTTTCCCGGCGTGTAGATTACAGTATACTTGTATCGCATTAAACGCATTCGAAATCTTTGCAAACGTGGCGTTAACTCATCTAAATTTTTAGTTTGCAGAATTTGTAGTAAAGGTTTATGGTCTGTTTCAAAAATTAGGTTAGGAACTCCTGAAATAAAATCATAAAAATATTCTGCTGCCCATGTAAGTGCAAGAGCTTCTTTCTCAATCTGAGCGTATCGTGTTTCAGCTGAGTTCAGAAGCCTAGATGTAAAAGCCACTATTTCCCGAGTATGATCTACATTTTCTTGAAATAGACATGCACCTATACCAAAACAACTTGAGTCTGCACTAACAATTATGGTTTTATTAGCATCAAAAAACGCTAGATTTGGAGGGCTCTCTAACTTTTGTTTTAAAGTGCTGAAAGCTTTATCTTGTGCTGGACCCCACAAAAAGTTAATATTTTTTTTTAGTAAGTGTGTTAATGGTTCAAGAATCTCAGATTTATTATGAATGTATTTTGCAGCAAAATTAATCATACCCAGCCATCTTGACAGCTCAGTCTTATTTTTTGGTTCAGGAAAATCACGGATAGCTTTAACCCTATCTGGATCAATTAATATCCCTTGCTCAGAGACCATATGACCCAAGTATTTAGCTGTTTTTGTTGCTATAGAGCATTTGTTTTTATTTAGTGTAATACCTTCCTTATGAAGTTTTGTTAGGACTGTGTTCAAAATATTGTCATGTTCCTCTATTGTCCTTGCATGAATAAGAATGTCATCTATATGGACAACACAGCCTTCAATGCCAGTTAAGATTTTTGAAAATCTCATAGTAAAATACTCTGGGGCACAAGATATACCAAATGGAAGCCTTTTAAAGAAAAATCTGCCAAAAGGTGTTATAAAAGTTGTTAACAACTGACTTTCCTTATTCAATTTTATTTGGTAAAACCCACTTGTGGTATCCAATTTTGAGAAGAATTTAGACCCTTTCAACTGTGCTAGTGTATGAGATATTTTCCCGAGAGGAAAATGTGACCGTAACACGTTTTCATTAAGTTTAGTATAGTCACCACAAAGCCGTACACAATCTCCCTTGTCCACACAAACAATTGGGCTGACCCAAGAAGTAGGATCTTCAATGGGTTCAATTATCCCTAATTTTAGCAATCTATCAATTTCAATTCTTAATTTTGGTAACAGAGGTAAAGGAACAGTTCTGGGAACGCTCTGTACATAAGGTTTAGCATCTGGCTTAATTCTAATTGACATTTCCATTTTAAATTCACCTATATCACTAAAAATACCAGGAAATGTTTTAGCAACAGACTCTAAATTAAATTTTGAAAACATATTAGTACTCTCAGATTGATTACAATGAACAACACTGCAACTGATTTGATTTACCTGTTTAAGCTTACAATTAGAAAAATTTAGAACATTAAACTTAATGATTGATTCTCTGCTTAATATAGGTTGTCTCAACTTCCTAATACAATATATTGTTTCATCATTTGTAAAACCGTCATAAGTAAATTTTATATGTAGCTTACCCACTGTGTCCAATTTATGATCGTCCGCTGCACCAATTGCATCACATGCCACAATTTTACCCACATATTCTGGAGGTAATTTTTCATAGGGAAAGCAGTTAACATCTGCTCCTGTATCCACAAAAAAAGGTACCTTAAATTTGTCATCCAATAAGATGTCTACATACCAACGATCCTTCTTGTCTAGGTACACTTGGCCAATAAAGGAATCTGTATGTACCACTTGATTTACTGAATCCCTTCCTTCGTCATCTGTACTACTGCTACTGGTGGACCTTGAACACTTAACAGCTCTGACAGCTTTCTTCCTGCACATCACACTCCAATGACCTCTACGTGAACAAGATCTGCATTCAGAGAACTTGGCTGGACATTTCTCCCTATTTTTACATGTAGGTATGCCACAGTATCCACATCTGTAACCTTCCTTAACTTTCTCATGAGTTGTTTCTTGTTTAGCAAAACTCTTACCTTGATGTCTTTTATCACTACGCTCCCTGTAGCCCTGTTTAACTGCACTAACTGACTGCTCCTGTCTCATAATTCTATTTTGACTATCTTGAAGTTCAGCTTGGCGTGCTATTTGTATTGCCTTCTCTAGTGTCAAACCATCATTTAGTTGCATTCTTTCGCTCACCTTTTTATCAGCTATTCCGATAACTATCCTGTCACGAATTAACTCATCTTTAAGAGCTCCATAGCTACAGTGCTCTGCAAGAGTATGTAGACTTGAAATAAAGTTTCCCACAGGTTCTCCTGGCCTTTGTACCCTTGAATTAAATTGAAATCTCTCAAAGATTGTATTTCTTCGGGGAATAAAATGATTGTCGAAAATCTGCATTACATCTTGAAAGGATGCATTCTCCACTGGTTGATTTTGAAGTAAAATATCTTCTGCTTCATTTCCCATTAAATACAACAGTAGGTCTAATTTATCCTTGTCAGATTTTTGTCCAAATCCACTTACAGACATATATCTCTCTACTCTTTTCTTCCATTGGGGCCATGTCTGGGGCTGTGTAAAATCAAATTCGCTTGGAGCCGAAATGTTCGCAAACACTTCTTTATTTATTTGGATAGGTGCATCCATTTTAAGGATTTTAGGTCCCCTCTGATTTATAGGTTATGCATAAGATTTGCACTGTTGTCACGTTCGACCACTCTTTGCTTGTTTAATGTTAACAAAACAAAGCACCAGCTGCCACCATGTCGTGTTATCAAAGAGGGGTTACAAATAATAATCGTTACTTCACAACATCAGTTTATTCTCAACCCTCAAACATACATGCTTGCCCGAGCTTCGGCTACGTTCACATGACATCCCTGTCATCTGTGTTGCCTAACTCCGGCGCCTATATCTTAATCTAAGCTAACAACACACCTTCTTTATTCTATAATTTCCCATGTTTGGTTACTAATCAATGGTTTACGATTAGTGCTTTTTGCGGATTGACGACATTTATCTTTTTGAAGGTTGTTAGGTTAATCTCTGTTAACACAGGTGGTCGAATAATGGGCTTGTGTTTGATTTTCCAAAAAGGGAAATTTGGAGGAAAAAAATTTATTACAACCTTCTATTGAATTATTCTATATAGAAAAGTTTGGTAATAGACCTTATGGTAACGGTAAAATCAAATAATAAACCATAAAACATTTAATACTAACATTTATTTTTAGAACCAGCTGATAAATCTAAAGAAATCATCTTTGGAAGTCATAATTTGCACGAAATTACAATGTTTTATCCCATGAGAATGGCGCGTACCCAAAGGTACAAACTGATTCACAATTTAAATTATTACGCTCCTTTTCCGATCGATCAAGATCTCTATCTGTCGCCTACATTCCAAGTAAGTATACATTGAATTGTTGCTTTTGAAACAGGACAATATATTTATATGTATTTTAATAAGTAACACTATGAAATTCTACTAAATTATATCACAGAAGCCCATACATTGAAATATTTGCATATGCTAATTTACTGTGCAGCAGCAGCAATTGCTAATGTTATGGCCCTTAAGATCAGAACACGACGGTGTACTAATATCGGAAGGACAGGTAAGAGAGTTGCACCTTGGGAAAAACGGCTGCTAAAGAAAATTGAATAATTGCGTAGGAACATTGGTCAAATCATAGAATATATTCGAGGAACAACAAGTAGAAAAGTAATCAGAAGCGCTGATGAAATAATGCTAACCTTGCGCAAGATACTTACAACTTGATCCAGAAAACAACAGCACAACAGTGCCTGGATTCATTAAAACAAAAACTCTCCGTTTATTCATGCAGAATAAGGAGATATAAAAGTAGTAACAAACGGAAATCCGATAATACGCTTTTTGAGAATGCCGAATAGGCGTTATATTGGAAACTCAATTCTACTACAGATAGTGCCAATAAATCGTACCCATTTTAATACCAAAGGATCAAAATAACACACAAGATCTAACCAAGTATCTTCCAATTACTTGTCTTTCAACCTTGTATAAGATGGTCATATCCTTTATAGCTCAGCGCATCTACCAACACTGTGCTCTAAACAATATCATAGAGCTTCAACAGAAAGAATGCGCTAAGGGTTCCATAAGCTGCAAAGAACAACTTATCATCGACTCTGTCGCATATATCAAGCATATACCAAAAAAGGAACCTCTTTACTGCTTTTATCGACTACTAGAAAGCGTTTGATTCAGTGCCACATGAATGGTTTAAAGATATATTAAAAATATATAAGGTCGATGGTAACATAGTGACCTTTTTAAAACATATAATGTCAGATTGAAAGACAAAAATTCAACTCCAAATACCTGATGAAAACAATATTGTAATAGAAAATATTGAAATTAATCAGGGGCTATTCCAAGGAGACTCGCTGAGTCCACTGTGGTTCTGTCTAGCAATGAACACCCTATCTCAGCTACTAAACTCAACTGACACAGGTTTTAGCATAAAAAATATCAATACTATTTGTAGTGGCGTAGCTTAATCATCTATTGTATGTGGATGATTTGAAACTATTGGCTTCCACTCGAAGCCACTTGGATCAGATGCCAAAGACTTTGGAAACTTTCTCTCTAGTATTAGTATACACTTCGGTCTTAACAGTGCCTTATCTTAAACATAGTCGCAGGAAAGGTTCAGCCCGGCGGATTCGATATGCAAAATAGCGAGAACATCAAGGCCATGGATGAAAATGATATGTATAAATAACTCGGCATAAAGCAAGAGCGGAAAATTGACCCTAATAGCTCCGGAATGTATACGAAGAGTAAACAGCTGCAAAATTTGTTTAAGGTACTAAACACTACGCATTTTCCGCGTTTAGCTATTTATTTGGTATTGTTAAGTGGACAAAAACGGATATAGAAAATCTTCTAAAAAAAATACAAACACACCTAACAAAGGTATAAAAACACCATCCACGAAGTGCAGTAGAAAGAACAACATTACCACGGTATTTAGGAGGACGAGGACTTATGGATATAAATAAGCAATTAGAAAAACGGATTATTAATAGATATAATAGATAAATCTTTTGATAGTCAATGTTATTTCAGCTTAATTTCCTATTCTAATAACTTCTGCGTTTGACATTCTTTGAGTACATGATATTTGTAGGATTCTTCTGTCTCTTTCTAGCACATTGAAACTTCTCACTTCCCTACCAAAAAGAGACGCTGCTTTATTTATTTGATATAAGGCAGAGACACAATGAACAACGAAAAAGATATGACGTCACTAAGCTCTCTCTACAGACTGCTTAATGTACTAATAATCTATGTTAATATCCTAGACGTATATATTAACATGATTTTGAGCTGACCAATTGGTCTAACCCAAGGTCATTAATCTAAACAAACAGAATTAATAAGTTAATATTACACACGTATACCTATTTTAATATATACGTCTGTGGTAAATACGTCATATCTTACCGGGCACAATCTTGAAATCACAAAATCAAATATTCTTCTTTTTCTATCAATTAATGTCTTGTTTTTCTATAAAGAATGTGCTTTTTGTGTGAGTGGAAGTAAAAGAGTTTTGGACCGCGTTTTCCCTATAGTAGTATGCGTTAGTATAGTAGATGTTGCGACGGTTGGGGCTGGGAAAATTTTACCGACCGTGGGAAAAAGCGGCATTCTTTGATGTTTGCACCTGTTCAGGTGTTCGAGTGACGTCACGCTCACTGACAAGTCGAGTCATTTCTTCTTTTCGTCTCTTTCGTCTTCTTCTTTTCGTCAGCTGATCTGTTTTTCGTCCCATGTCACCTTCTTCTATTTACTAATTGAACGTCCACTGCTTGACAGGAGAACCCAATATTTTATACAATGCTACATAAGCTTGCATTCTTTCGTCTAGTACTCTACGCATATTTTTCGCCCAGTACTCTACATAGGTCTACGATTCTTTCCTCCAGTGCTGTACATAGGTCTACGATTATTTCTTTCAATGCTCTATATAGGTCTACGATTCTTTTGTTCACGGCTAGACACAGGTCTTATCGCTAATCATCATAGGACACCACTGCCCAAATTAGATAACAAATATTTTCTTCTCTTTGTCCGTCGTCTCCTTTTTATATTTAGATGCTGATATATACAGGATAAGGTTAGAAAATACAATTCATGTTACAGTGATAGTGGAATATGATCACAGACGGTTCTTCGATAGCCATCAGGCAACAATTCCCCGATTCATGTTAAAACATACAGAGAACACTTTACGTACGTATTATCAACGAATATAGAAGCACACTTTAACGTAATTTTTTGGTACATGCTGTGCGAAAACATTTTACTTCTGTTACCGAAATACCAGGAAGCGTTCATGTGGTCGCCCCCTTCACTACTGCACTATTCCTGGTCCACAAAGTACTACTTCTTTCGAAATAAAATATGAAAGAGTGAGGCTAAAAGTGCTCAGGCTTAAATTTTCGCACTTATAAAATTAGAGATTAAATCTTACACATACATACACCATATTTTTTTTATATAAAAAAATTAATTTTTAATATTTTTTAATAACTTATTATTTTTAGAACTATAAAAAATATTGTAATTCAAATTATTAATTTAAATATGTAGAAATCTACAAAAAATATATTAAAGTTTATATCCATTTATGTAGCCATCTGAGGAGTAATTTGAACTAGGTATACTAACCGTGACCATTTCTCCCATTTGAAATGTACTTCTTTATGCGACTATATTCGTAGCTATTATGCTTACTTTAGTTTAGTTGTTAATTAATATGTAAAATAATTGTAGATAATGTATTATTAGTTTTTTTTTAATTTCTAGGATATTTTGAACAACACCAAATCACACAAAAACCCAATGTGGTATAAAACCCTACAAGGATATTATAAGCGTCCCGAATGGGAATTATATGACCTAAAGTATGATCCTGCAGAAGTTAATAACATCGTTAAGAAAAATAGTTCTCAAAGCATATTTCAAAATTTGAAGAAAAGATTAAATCTTTGGCAAAAACAAACAAATGATCCTTGGATATGCTCTCCACACGCAGTTCTGGAAGATACTGGTAGTTTTAAGAACAATCCACAATGTTTGGATTTAGACAATGTCTTATAGATTTTCGAATCAAACGTAACGAATTAAGTTTGCAATACAGAAATTCCTATCAAACTGTCTTTTGTCGAAAATATTAAACTTAAACAGTTAAGCACAATATTGTGGAAATATAAAATAAAACATAATAAATATTACATATTAGTTGAAGCAATAAGTAAAAAATCTTTGAATATGCCGTTGCAAATACTCTGGAATCTAATATTATGATAGATAATTTGTTTAAAAAGTTAATAAAATGTCTTAAAATCTCTTACCAACAGAAAGAAGATACAAAATTTGTCATAAGTTTTTTGTAAGTCCTTCTCTCTATTAGGATTACCGTATAGGTCTCTCATAATTCTCGCCATTCATCTCTATTGTTTGTAAGACGTTCCTGTAGTTCTTTTAATATCATCGCTCCAGGCATTTGCGGTCTTCCTCGTGGTCTTTTGGCTTCATATGGTCGCCAATTCACGATTTCTTTATTTCACCGGCCATCCTTCAGACGTTCGATATGTCCAGCCCATTTCCATTTAGCTGCCTGTTCGACAGCATCTTTTACTTTTGTTCTATTACGAATGTTTTCATTGGTTTTATGATATTTGAGTGAGATACCCAACATCTGTCGTTCCATAGCTCTCTGAGCTTTTCTGATCTCCTCCATGTTTACTTTAGTGAATGTTCAGGTTTGAGCTCCATATGTAAGTACAGGTAGGATACAAGAATTAAATACTTTGGTTCGCAGTCTTTGAGGTATATTTTTATTTTTAAGTACGTATGAGAGTCTTACAAATGCTGCCCATCCCATTTTTAAACGTCTGCTTATTTGGTAGTCTGATTGGTAGGTAGTTTTTTTTGCTTATCTTGACATTTTGAACCAGATATGTATATTCATTTACGTGTCCTATATCTGTCCCTTGGATGTTTATCATAGGTTTGTCATCTTTTTTTGACATTATTTTATGAAAGTTTTTGATGAAATTCATTTTCAGTCCTTTTTCTAGGGATTCTGTGTGTAGCTCCTTAATCATCGTATTCAGTGCATCCCACGTATTGGCTATTAGTACTACATCTTCTGCGTATCTAAGATGATTCAAGTATCTTCCGTTAATAGGGATTCCCTCATTTTCCCAGTCTATTGACTTGGAAGATATCTTTTAGGGCAGCTGTAAATAATTTTGGAGATATTGTGTCCCCTTGTCTTACGCCTCGGTTGATTTTTACTGGTCTTGTTTCGATTCCATTACCCAACGTCACTATTATTTCAGGTTGTTCGTAAATAGTATGTATTAATATTCTGTACCCGGAGTCGATCCGGTTGTTGACTAATGCTTTTTCTATTGCCCACAGTTCTACGTTATTAAAAGCTTTTTCATAATCTATAAAAACCATACATAATGGGAGATTGTATTCGTTAGTCTTTTATATTAGGATTTTCAAAGTATATAGATGGTCACAAGTGCTGTACCCTTTAACCTGTTTATAATAATCTTTGTAAATGTTTTGTAAAGTTGTGAAAGAAGTGAGATTGGTCGATAATTTTTAAGGTCTATGGTGTCCCCCTTTTGTGTATTAGTATTGTATTAGCAGTATTCCATTGTTCGGATATGTTGCCTTCGAATAGACATTTATTAAATAGTGGTTTTAGATATGTGATGGCTTCTTCTCCGCCTTCCTTCAGCATTTCTGCTAGGATTCCATTGCTTCCAGGAGCTTTATTTCCTTTACTGCTCTTTCTATTTCTTCGTGGCTTATTTCGGGCACCCGAAACATATATATTCGGACATCACTTCGAGTTGACATTTGTTATCTGCCTTTTCAAGTTTTGCTTTGATGAGTTAGAGGGATAGTTTCTGGAACGATACAGATGGGCGTAGAATTTTTCAATTGAGTTAGCTATATCAGATTTACTTTCTCTAGTTTTCCTTGTTCATTTTTAATGGTTATTATGTTTTTATTTTCTAGTTTCGGGTTGGTGCATTTGAGACTTCGGTTTTTCTCTATGACTTGTTCTATACGGTCTTCTTGATGTTTTTTAATGTTCTCTTTTATCTGTTTTCTTATTACTCGATTAAGTTCCTTAAACTCTGCAGTGTCTCTTTTGTTTTATCTCATATCTTTTCTTTGTTTCAGCATGTTTTGTGATTCTTACACTTATTTTGAAGTTTCCTTTACTGTTAGCGGTTGGCACTTCTGAGCTTGCATTTAATAATCCTTTTGTTATGACTTCATTGATTTCATTTAAGCTAAGTTTATCTATTATATGAGATTTTAGTTTATCTGTATCTATATTCCAAGTTTTTCTAAATTTATCTCTAATTTGGCTCTAACCATTTGGTGATCGCTACTTACTGACGCCGTATTTATTACTGTTAGGTCCTGTATGATATTTGTTTTGTTACACAGTATATAATCTATTTCGTTCCGAGTTTTTCCGTTTGAGAATAGCCACGTCCACTTTCTTTGAGGTTTTTTCTTATAGACTGTGTTCATTGTATAGTATTTGTGGCCTGTAGGAAGTTAACCAAGGTCTCTCTCATTTCTAACTCCAGAGCCGAATTGTCCTATATAGTTTCGGTTTTTTTTCAGTCAAGTGATATGTTTAGTTAACAAAAAAAAATTCGTTCACGTACACATATTCTTCTTCTGTGAGGTTATGTAACCCAGATGCTGTTAAGTTTTAACACAGTGGTGTTAAATTGTTTTTTGATTCTACAAAACTATAAACAAATTTGTAATTCAGAAAAAGTCACATGACCATATGTTAGATGAATAAGATGGACACTCTAACGCATTCATGATAGACCAGCTTGTTTTAAAAATTATCAGTTTTAGTCACCAATTTAAAACAAACTTTTCGTTTTAAATTTGTTATGTCAAAGTTATTATTATTCCAATTTTTTCCATGTAGTTAAGTTTGCAAGAAATTGAATTTCAGAATTCTAGAATTTTATCAACATTGGATAGTGCCGATATATGAAATGTATTCCAGAAAATTTTGAAACACACTATATAAGACAACCCTAAAAGTTAAAAACAATAATTTCGAATATTTAATAGTTAAGTGCCATTAGATATTATGAATGCTGCTTGTTTTTATAAATATTTTAAAATTATTCGTTCCTTTTATATTCAGGGTATAGGTTAGTTTTAAGTTGATATATTTTTATAGGTATTTAAAGTTATACATATGGATGTTATAAATACAATAAAATGTTGTTTTTGGAATTACCTATATGTTTTTTTTTTCAATTCGATTCAAACTATAGAAAAGTACACACTCGATCGTTGGTTTCATTGTAATTCAGTAGGATAACCTGAGGCTTTTTAGCGTCAGGATTCATTTCGTTGTCATCATGTAATGTTGAAAGTAATATTACAGCCTTATATTTCAGAGGTACATAGAAAACCATTATTTTATCTTTTAGAAACCCAAAAATTGCGGATGGAACAGCTCGTTATTGAATAATTTTTTGTATTCCAGATTTGATTTTCTTTATTGTGTACAAAAACCGTTATTTTTTGATATCAAATATTCAGCGGCACATTTGTTTATAAATTTTACCGATGGCCAAATTCCGGTTTCAGTGGTCTATAGAAGCTTTAAAATATCTGTTTTCCATAATATATCTTTAAGGTAGATGTGTAAAAAAAGTTGGCATTACAAACATTTTTACCCCATATTTTACCGGTTTACTATGAATATAATGGATAAATCTACAACGACCGTTTGTCAACTTTCTTTCGATTCTTGTACTCTTGTCATGGAATCTCGAACAACGGGTGATAAAGACGAATCCGTTGTAACTCATGACAGCTCTTATTTCAATTCCACTACCATCACCAGCAAAAATCTCTCTCATTTACGTGAAGAGATGTTTTAAAGACAGTTTTACATTATGCTATTTTCATGCTAGGCAAGAGCCATGCAAGACAGATCATGGAATTGCGCATGCCCACGGGCTATTTCCATGCAATTCCTGTGCTAGACGAAAAATTAGAACATGTTCTATTTTTCATGCAATTTTCTTGCAATTCATCGTTAAAATTCATGTTGCCAACATAACAATTTATAATAGATTACAGAATAAAACATAACCTTATCTCTATCTTTAGCGTCCCTTAACCCACATGTGTATTGTTGTGTTTTGATTTAAATTAAGTTTATTAAGTGGTGATAAATAGATATACTATGTCTAAAGTTAATGTAAAAAACGACTGGGTGAGTCGTTGACTATGGATGATTGTTGCTACAACAGCAATATTCAACAATAACAATGTTTTCTTTTCTTTGGTTGACATCCTTCACCGTTTTAATAACCATAAATAGTGTATATTTATTTATTATATTATTTATTTTAGTACTTAATTATATTTTTTATTTAAAATAAAATAACCTCAAATTGATAAATATTTTCTCTGTTGGCAACAATGAAAGTGCACAGAAATATCTCTGATGTAAAAAGGTCAAGCTAGGCAAGAGATGTGCCATGCAAGACGGACTAGCATAGCATGAGACTTGCATAGCCTAGATGTAAAGCTGCCTTAAAGCTCCCTTTATACCTATCGAATATAGTAGTTTTACGAACACCATAAATTCGTGACTTGATGATTTTACAGTCCCGATCTCTAAAATATTGATGAACTCTCAGCTGTTAATCGATATAGGTACATATTAAAAGTATCGTCGATCATAGAAAGGTCTATAATTTGGAGAAACGCATCTTATTGTTCATTTTAATACCAAGTGCAGAACTAGTCAGGCCAGTTGGTATTTTGTCTTTGTTTATTGCCTTAGTTTTCGCAAAAACAAGTTATCTTGTCTTCGCCATTTAGTTAAATTATTTTTCCAACTAAAAATTCTTTCATTGTTTCCTCCTATTCTTCGGACTCGTCTGTTTTCTTGTTCAGTAGCACTATTTTCAATTTGCTACTCGATTTCTTCTACTGAAAACTCGCTGTCACTGTGGCAAATGATTCTCGTCATTTTGCTCTGGCTCATCGAACAACTCATCAATACTGAATTTTTTTTAACATCTTCTTCTTCTGGTTCCTATCCGTTTCGGATGTTGGAAGTCATATTGGCAATCATAACCTTGCTCGTTGCGGCTCGAAACAGCTCCGTTGAGGTTTTCTTAAACCATGTTCTTAAATTCCGCAGCCATGATATTCTCCTTCTACCGGGTCCTCGCTTAGGTACCTTTGACTTTACCTTGCAATATAGACTGTAGCAGGGAGTAACGGTGCTGATTTCTCATAACGTGTCCCAGATATTGCAATTTTATGCGTTTGATCGTAAACACATCTCAAATGCTTCAAGTTTTTTAATAGTGGCGTCTGTAAGCGTCCATGCCTCCGCTCCGTACAACAACACAGAGAAAACATAGCATCTCAAATGTCTCATTTTTGTATCACGGGATATGTTGTGACTTTTGAAGATGGCGCTCATTTTGTTAAAGACCGTTCTTGCCTTTCCTATGCGGCACTTGTAAATTTTCCTGTAAATTGCTCCACTGTTCGTTAATAATAGTTCCCAGGTAACAATACTGTTTTACTCGCTCTATCTGCGTCCCATTAATGTATAGATGAGCCCCGTTTATATTCTCCTTGCTGATAATCACTTGTTTCGTTTTGTGGGTATTAATGTTTAGTACGCACTGTTGACTGTACTCGTTTATTCTGTCCATTAGCCTCTGAAGTCCCTCTAAACTATCTGCTATCACCATGGTGTCGTCGGCATATCTAACATTGTTTACTCTTTCACCATTTAGAAGGATGCCTTCGTCTATTCCGGCGAATATCAACGGCGATAGGATACATCCTTGTCTAACTCCACGTAGTATTTTTATGTGATCTGTTTCTTCTCCGTTAATTTTCATACAGTACAGTTTTTTAACATACAGTACAGTTATAAAAATTGAAGGCTGAGAATATCTACTGGACATACGCTATCTATTATCTTTACAGTAGCAGTAGACGTCAATATGATTTTAAATAAAACGTAATAGTTGAAATTATGTAGGCGCTCAGCAGTTTATTTCAATATTGTTATCAACTAACCAATCAATTAAAACTCAATAAAATAGCCGTTTAGGAAAAAATCAACTTTTTATTAACAAGTTAATAAGTACAATCTTAAATAGTTGTACAATTTATATACAAAGGCAAAAAATTAAAACACAAGAAATCTAAACAATCACAGTCAATGTGCTGTCCCTAGAATAAAATTATGTACAATGATGTTAAAATTATATACGAATTCAAACTGACTGTAAATATAATGTAGTTAAAGCTACAAAATAATTCAGTCTCACTAAAATATGTAGTAAAATATTTCGTGAAAGCATTACTGTTGTTAATACAAAGCATTTGTCACAACATAATACGTCATCAGTAGGTAACTCCAACAATATATCATATTTAGGCTGTCTCTCAATTTAAAATGTAAGTAAATATTCCTTCTTTATTTACTTTGATATTTATGTAACTGTTACTTTTTAGGTTTTTGGGCACTCGTGATATAAAAGGAGTATTTTGCATATGGTGATTGTAGACATTTGCCAAGTTTGCTAAAGCTTTTAAGCGTGGAATTAATTTGAAAATGATCTGAAAATCTTCGTAAAATGAATTAGCAAGGATTCAGTAAGAAACATGCTTCTAAAGAATGAATTATGTTCCCTAAAATTAAAATTGATGATAACATTGAAGGATACGAGTTAGGAATAAAAGTCGAGTGTGTTTCCTGTGAGCTACGACAAACAACTTAATAGTGGTATATCTGCGTTCAATATAGGTCTAAAATATTAGGATGGTATAGAAATTCTAAGATAAAATGTCAGTTAAATGAATTATTTGGGGGTTTCAATATGTCGACATATATGTTGACAATATCATTAACATAACTTAAGAGAATAAAGGCTTTGCAGCGAAAACCATCATAGCCGAGTCACATAACTACTATGCCAGCCGAACTAGTACAATTGTTATAACTTGTGAGATTATGCTGTCATGGATTTCTATTATTCTGATTTACGTGTGCATAGTTTGGTAAGACATTTATAATTGCCAGCCTTAAAATCTAACAAAAACAGGTCCAAGGGGTAATGCAATAATAAGAATTTAATATTAATTGATAGTCTTAAAATATATTTTGAAAACAATTTTGTTCAAACTTTACATTTATACTAAATGTTTTTTTGTGTGTATATTTTAGATTAGGTAAATTTGAATGATTCTCTTGGTTAACAGTAATGCATTCTGGAGATCAAAACGCTAGTTTTGCTATATTGGCGAGAAGAAAATACCATTGAATAGTTAATACATTGAATTAAAATGAAATTAATACTGTAAAGATAAGCGCACCTTCCTAATTGACATTTTTAGACTTTCTTATTGGCATTCTGCAACAACCCGAATTGTATTCGCTTGAAATTAGGTAATAACTCTTATACATTGGCTAACCAACTTACAAACTCTTGTTTAAAAGCTCTCTAGACTCATTTGTCGAGACTTAATGTTAATGTAAAAATTGTGGTGGAAATGTACCCAAAATTTCGATTAAGAAATTTTTGTGTTTCCTAGATCATACTAACTGTATTACATTTGACTTTTTAGCTGCACGTTTTTTACAGTATCTTGCAGAAAAAATAGTGGTGAATACATTACACAGAAAATCAATTACATGAGGCTGATCTTGCAAAACAAAAAAGGAAGCATCAGTGCGTTCGTCAAATACTCAACTGACTTGTCACGCAAACTGAATAAACTGTTTAGTAATCAGGGTACAGTTGCATACGTTATTACAGCATGCGATTTACACAGCGAGAAACACGTTTCTTATTGGATATTAACCAAACAATAGTTTTTGGGTCATAACAAACACAACTACATTTGAAAAGTTGTTCAAGCACAATTATTCTGGTAAGTCTGTATATCGGTCCGTGGATCCTGCAAACACGTCTGTAGAAAAACGTCTATTCTTGTTTGTTCGAATAACGAATGTCTCATATGAACACCTTATCTTTTAAACGTTTAAAATCGAATGTTGTAGATACATGCAGTACAGTGACATGTGAACGTATATTGTGTTCTACATTACGTTCAAAAAGTCGCTCCTAGTAGCACAGTTTCGTTTCTCATCCAGATTTCCTGGTGTTCAGATTAACACGAAAATTTCATTTAAGTTCCTTTGTTTGGTTCATTTTATCACTGGTAAAATGCTAAATACATAAACTCAATGTAGCAGATATATCCAATAAGATGTTCAGAAGTCCGAATAAGTAAATGAGAAAAATCGTGCACGAAACTGATGTTAGTGTTAAAATGGCCCATCCTGCTGTAAGGAAAATATTGGTAACTATTTTCAAACAAAGTGACAGTCGTGTAGGAATTAAAGCTTACTGAGAGCAAGAGGTTGGTCCATTTTGTTGACTGATTTCATTTAATATGTAATCCATAGTCGTATTAAAACGTTTGTCATACATAAAGCATGGTTCTATTTATCCGGGTACCTAAATACTGTGGAGTAGTGTGGCCGTACTGTAAATCCATTGCATATTAATGAGGAATCACTTTATTGTGTGAAAACTAGTGTTTGAATTGCAATTTCTAGGCGACGTCGGATTATGGGTTTCCAATTTTTCAACATTAATGCACTGAAATTATGTATCATTCATATCTAAACGTATATTAAGTAATATAATGAATAATAATGTACAAGTTGTCAGATATACAGATGACATCGATATCATAGCTCTCTGAACGATGCATTACGGTCGTTAAGGACATCTGCACAGAGAATGGGACTGAATATAAATGCTTTAAAGACCAAATATGTGTTGTGCTAGGTTCAGCAACCAGAGAGAAGAATAATTGACGATTTAGAATTGGAAGGTAAGGACACCTTCATATACCTATGCTCACTGCTGACTAAAGATAACCAAGTCAGCGAAGAAATTAAAAGAAAGAATAGTGCTTGCTAACGTTACTATGGCTTCAGAAGACAGATGGCCTTAAAACTACCTAGACAAATTAAAGTGGCGGTCTATTATAAGATCAGTGTTAACATATGGAGCACAAACGTGGTCACTGACAGAAGGACCAAGAACTACTAAACATTTGGAACGAAAAATTCTAAGAAAATATACAGGAATAAAAAAAAGCAAGGTTTGTGGCGCAGACGTTGCAACTTTGAGTTGTACAGTTTTGGGGAACCTGACGTTATAAAAGCCAGTAAGATAGCACGCCTTAGATGGATAGGGCATGTAATCAGGCGAGAGGAAGGTGCAAAATTACCGGAGACGGGTGAATAAAGAATTGTTAGAAGACTGCAGAAAGCTTTGGCTCATAACGAGCTGTGATGCCACTGACGATAATGATGAAATAACGAATGGTTATTTTCAATAAATACAACTGCGCATACAGCAATATCTGTCTGCATATGACTTTGACGATAGCATAATTGCACAGGGATTCTGGTCTCCATGCTCTCCTGAACTGTCACCGACAAACTTTTTTGTGAGGTGCAGTGACAGCAACTGTATAAAATCGTACAAAATCTGTCGGTTAATTACAAACTGTTAAAAAAAAATTAAAGGTTTTTTATGATTTAAAATGTATATTAAATAAATTTACACCTTGAATGTATTTCATTGAGTTTCATTATATATGTTTTACTGTGGAACGAATTTTTGAACACTCTATAAAAGGATTTCTAATGTTAGTTAAAAACATGAATAATAGTCAAGATTTTTTCTTGTCAATATGCAATTCTGAAAGAGCGTTTTTTGTGGTAAGATATAAATGAAATTATGGAAATGCATGTCGGTTATTCCATAAGACTGTTTAAAATTACGAAAATCGACAAAATTTAACCTATTATTGCCAATATTTAGGCAGTTTCCTTGTAGAAAAGTTGAAGCAAGATTTAAAAAAATGACAATGAATATATTAAACATAAAACATTAGCAATATTAAGCCAACAACTAGATACTAGAAGAAAATTAATCTAACTTTTTTGATATCAGATTATTAAGAATAAGACATATACTAAGGAGATTCATTAACATGAAAAAGAAAATGTATTGACTCCAAGAGTATTTTAAAATGGAACCAAAGTACAAAATGGACGAAATTTTTACAAAGGTTTGGCAAGTACATCTGCACGATTATTACCAAAACCATCTTGAGTTGTACTACTGACTAGTATTATACTGCCTACCAAAATGTTTAAAATATATTACATTATGTTTTCTTTCCCTTTTTTTCCTTATCGCTCTCTGCTGCATCTTTGCTTTCTTTATTATCTACTGAAGCTACTTCGTCGACAGTAGATTCTTTGGAAACTGTGGCCACTGTTTCTTGTTTAGCAGATGCGTTAATTTCCGATTCACTGTTAGGATTCACTGGTAACTGGTCAGGTTGGGTCCCCTTCTTTTGGGAGTTCTCAGTAACTTCCATATTTTTAGGGTCCTCCACATTCTTTTGTTCGTTTGATAATTCGCTTTTTTCATCTGATTTATCCATGTTGGTGTCTTTTGTTTCGCCATCAGCAACTTTTTGATCTACATCCATTTTTTCTTCCGTCGACGCTTTACTTTCTAATAGAGCAATGGCTTGCTGTATACATTTAATCGCTTCTTTTCTAGCCAGACGGATGGTATCTTGTCCTTGAGTGTCTATATTATCTAATTTAATTAGATTTCTAGTCAACATTTCGTCTAAATATAGATACTGCTTATCTCTAGATTTCCCTGCAAACTTTTCAACCTGTTCCATTAAACTAGAAACATCTTTTTGGATTTCTTGAATTTGCTCTATGGGAGTAGGTCTGCGGTCTTGAGAAGCAGGTTTAGCTTCTTGCTCTTCCGTTGCTTGTGGTGTTGGTTGCTGTTGTTGAGAAGGTGGAGACGGTTGGTAGTGCTGCTGAGGCTGTTGTTGGTGCTGCTGCTGTTGATGCGGCTGTTGTGGATGCTGCTGCTGTTGATGCTGGTGTTGTTGATGCTGCTGTTGTTGTGGTTGCTGCTTTCTCTCAAAGTTATCTCTTTGTACAGGAATAGGAATATCATCTTTAGGATGTTGGTAATATTGTGGTTGTGATGGATGTTGTGGATGATACTGCTGGAAATTATGAGGTATATTTTGCCGAGTGAAATGTTCATCTTGAAAAGCTCTCGGAAAAGGTTCTGGGCGATGTCCAAATCTGTCTGGCATGGGATGCGACTGCGGTGGAGGTATGTTAGGATTTTTTGGGAAGACTGGTCCATCCACTCCTTCTACCTGAATCGGAATAATCCTTTCATTTGATTTCTGCTCTGGCTGTTGACTTTGAGACATATTTTCGGAAGGTACGTTTACTGGAATATTTATGCTAGAAGTGTATCTTTTCTTCGATTCTCCAACAGGTGGTGCTGACATAGATCTTTGATTTCTGTCATCAATTGGTTCCTGCCTCTGACCTAAATCTACTGTATTACTTTGTTGAATACCAGGCCTTTCTTTTTCCTGAGGGCAAGGTTTTTGTGGAGGGTGGACAGTTGTTTCTGTGTGCGGGGATGGTTGAGGATGAGTTGGAGTAGCTTCAGCTTGATCTGCTTGTGGATAAGCGGAACTGCTTTCGCCTTCTCTGGGAGTTTCTTGATAAAAACTGGTTTGTGGGTATCTACCGTCTGACTGATGAAACTCTTGAGGATAAGAATGCTGAGTTGAAGTAGCTTCAGCTTGATCTGCTTGTGGATAAGCGGAACTGCTTTTGCCTCTGGGAGTTTCTTGATAAAAACTGGTTTGTGGATATCTACCGTCTGACTGATGAAACTCTTGAGGATAAAAATGCTGGGTGTATTGTGAGGGGTCTATATCGAAATCGTCTTCGTCATCAAACGGAAACTTGTCACCGAATGGTCTTCTAAATCGACTTTTAAGCTCCTCAGCCGGTCTACTTCTGGATCTGGGACGCTGATTTATATCTTGAAAATGCTCGGCTAATTCTGGATGACGTTTTGCCAAATTGTCAAGTGTGGATTTGAAATAGTCGTCTCTATTGGCATTCCTATTAAATGGAAAGTTATCTCTGGCAGAATCGGCGTCAAAATTATCGGTCTGAAACAAAAAATACAATGAATTAGAGAAAACAGTGAAACAAATAAACGGCTAGATTAAACATGAATGCCTAGATCAAATAGACAAAAGTTGCTAAGGTTTCACCGGCAATCATAATTTACAGCATTCCATAGACTTATACTTGAACTAGGTGCATATTCTGCAATGAATGCAATGAGATATGTTCATTTTGTAAGATAGTCCCGAAAATATATCTATACAAAAATATCTTTTGTTTATCATTCAGATTTTCAAAATTCAATTCATATTCAACACAAATAGAGGATTGTCCATTTTTCTATGTAATATATCTTCTAATATTCTTGACGAAACGTCCTTGGTGCTTAATAGATCCGTGCTGAATATATGTAAAGAATATACTAAAACTAACGAAGTGCACAGATAGAATTTTAATGGAACATCTGAATGGTAAGGTTGGAAAAGTTGAAGTAGAAAATTGTATGGTAAACCAAAGATTGAGAACTGGGAATCTTATAGGCGACTGTCTAATTAAATTTTGCCAAGGATATGATATAGTTAATCTCGAATAGATTTTTCGATCTTTCAACATAAAGACCCTGAACATCGCCACAATAAACTACAGATAACATTAATACTAAATATAAAAATAAAATCAAGTCAATAATCATACCTACCCAAGTGCAATGGTAGCATCAAACCATAACCGCATTTTAGCTAAGATAAAGAAAACTGATAATATTGAAAAAGAAACAAAGAAAAGAAAATAGATCTAAACAACCTAAAAAGTAAATCAATAAAGGAAAAGCTTCTCTCTCAGAAATTAATATAAATCTTATAATAGATAAAATAGTCATTGAAAGTAAAAAAAAAGAAATATGGTGTACGATTTATGAGAGACAATTGAAAAGCAAAGAGAGATGAATTAAAATCAATATGAAGAAACAGGTCATGATATAAAACAGTGAAAACTGAATATACTATGAATAACATGAAAAGTCGCTGGAACTGACAATATCCAATATATGATGACTACTTCAACAATATTTTTGGGACTGACATAATACAAGCAAGCAACATAAATAAACCCAAATAGACGAGAGTTGCATAACCGTAAAGGACATTCGGGTATAAAATTCATTGGGGTGAAGAGGATTGATCCGAGTAAATCAGGGACCACTCCACTGCGCCCCAATACTCCCAGGCCATCCTCCAACCCACTCCCCATAGCACGCTGATGCGCTACGAGGGCACCTACCATCAAAATGCTTGCCATATGGAAGCCCTGAGTACAAGGACCCCCACATTAAATCTTGCCCTGAAATAAGCGGGACAGCATGAAGAGCTATAATTTTGCTGTCAACTGATTTATCATCATAGTGCTCTGCTTGTTCGGACTCCGGGTCCCCGTTCTGTTCGGCGACTCGGCGCTGGAGTGTGTGCCATTAGAATTCCAGTTCCAAACTAAGTTTAATTAGCAATACATTAAAACCGTTTCTGAAAGCTATACACATGCGGAAAGAATTCAACGTGTAAGCGAATCGATTTAAACGACAGCTTACTATTTTTATTGAGAACAAGCCACAATTTTACTTTAAAATAAGTTTATTTTAAAGTTTTGATTTGCCCTTCCGAAATGAGTTTCAAAAATCAAAACATTAATAAAAAGAAAATATTAGTACTTTGTATTTTGAGAACTATCTTCGAAGTGGAAATCGAAACATCGAAATTAAGATGCCACAAGAAAAAATCGTCATAAAAATGGCATCGTCGCTTCAGTTTATTGAAATATTGCTTTGTAGGCGTGACTATAGGTCATAACTGTTTCACAAATATTTGATTGAATTCAATATTACCTGATCACTAATGCGAGTATGTAGCGAATTAAGATTAAAATGGGCAAAAATTTACGTCTATTAATTAAAAATTAAATGAACTTTGAAAATAAGGCTATTATCGAGCACAAAATAATTAAATCAAGCCCAAGTACTTTCGCTTATAATAGCATCTTCAGGGGCATCTGAAATAAGCCAAGAAAACGTTTTTTAGATGAAGTAAATTAGTTAACTTCGATAAAAAACTCGAAGTTAATGGATGAAAAAAAGTTTTTGAGATTAACGTTTTAGACTTACTTCGTCAAAATAAGATCTATCCAGCAAGCGTAGGAAGTTGAAACATTAAAACTAACATAAATTATACAAAACACTACACTAAAACGAGGACAAACAGTTTAAAATTGCTTCTACGCTACATTCTCTGTCAGTTTCTGGAGGGATAATGATCTAAGCGGAAATGATACGGTGACATATGACATATGACAACTTTGATAGACAATCAAAGTTATGGATCTGTGATCAGCAAATATTGAAATTCTGTATAAGTTGTCATTGGCCAAAGGTACAACTAGAACTACTATTTAAAAATCAGCTGATGACGTATGACATGTAGAATATTTTGATTTAAACTAGATTGCATAATCCAGATCTCACACTCACACCCGTCTGTAATGATAAGGTTGTAGGTTTGAGGCTAAATGAAGTGTACATAAAGTGTGAATGAAAGAAATAGACCAAACGATCTATTGGACAGTGGGTAGTTGACTACAATAAAATGGTCTACCTTACACTGTCAATATTGCAAAATGAGAAGAAAATTGACTATAAAATTGAAATATTAAAATTAGATCAGAATTGAAAGCAGTGTGTAAATAGTTATAGTTCAAGTAGTTCAGTTAAACCTCAAGCCAATGGGGAACTATAAAACTAATATGTAATAGCATTGCTAAAGACCAACCGACCAACAGGTGTTGAAATATAAACTGTGGAATTAGTATATGTAAGTTATGCAAAGATATGAAGAGTGAAATCAACTCCAACTGTGGATCAATTGAATCTGAGCAAGCTAGTTGTGTAAATTGTTAAATACAATAGTACTGCTGAACAGAGCTTGAAATTGGTAGATTCTTAATGTATAGACTCAGTGCAGGAAGTCTAGACAGCCGAGCTGGGTCCACTACGAGGTGAAGCTGTAATAAAGTTTTTAAAAATAGGTTTAAATTTAGTACAGTTTAAATTAATTTGAGTATTAAGACAATGAGAGTTTCCATTCGTTTCCTTTGTGATCTCCAAATCTTCCAATAGATCCAACTCCAAATAATTTTTCTTTCTACTGATGTCATGCAAAATAGACGACCCAGTATTGATGTTGAAATTGTGTTTGGTAGACTCTAAATGTTGACCAAAACTTGAAGAGTTTGGTCTTTTTAAATGTTCTGATATTCTAGTAGATAGCTTTCTAATGGTTCTGCCTACATAAGAGGCATCACAATCATCACACTTTAATTTGTAAATACCACTTTTGTCAAGTGTGTTCAGCCTGTCTTTAGTGTTAATTAAAAAGGAACCTACAGTGTTGTGTGACTTAAAGGAAATTTTGATGTTTTCAACTGTAGAAGTGAAAAGTTTGGCTATTTTATTAGAAATGTTACTAATATAAGTAAAAGAGAAATATCTGATATTGTTAGAAGAATTTTGCTGGAGAAGACTTTGTGATGAATATGCAAGCTTTTCTGTAATTTTGAGTTTAGCTCTATTTAGAAGCTTATGAATAATGTTGGGATCATAACCATTATTTAAAGCAATTTGTTTGAGAGTGTTGAGTTCTACATTAAAGTTATCATTTGAAAGTGGAAATTTAAGTAATCTGTGAATATAACTATTGAAAGCTGCCATTTTATGTTGGGTTGGATGGTTGGATGTCTCATGTATAACATGATCTGTTTGGGTGGGCTTTCTGTAAATATTGTACTCAAGAGAATCTTTATTGCGAGATATAGTCATGTCCAAGAAGTTCAACTTATTGTCAGATTCTGGTTCCAAAGTAAAAGAGATGTTGGGATGAAGGTTATTAAGATCTTCCAGAATCTGTAAAGCATCATCTTGGGATCCTTGTATCAGAGCTATACAATCATCAACGTACCTTGACCAAAAAATTATTTTGTTGTTGTTGTTAACAAATTTCTGTTCTAAGCTGTCCAAAAAAATATCAGCTAAAAAAGGTGATAATGGAGAACCCATTGCTAAACCTGTAGGTTGTTTGTATATTTTTTGGTTAAATTGGAAGAAGTCTTGATCAAGACAGAATTTGAGCATAGTTGAGATAGCATCTCTGTCTTTAGCCGGTATGTTGCAATTGTTTAAAAGGTTGTGTACTAAAGGTAATGTTTCATCTCTTGGTACAGAAGTAAACAAATTGGAAACATCAAAGGAAACCAAATAAAAACTCTCTTCTATTTTGATGTTATTTAAACGTTCTATTAGATCTAAAGAATTTGTAATGGAGAACTTAGGTTTAAAATTAGTAATAGATTGGATTGTGTTATAAACAAACTCTGACAATATAGAAACTGGAGTGTTGCAAAAACTTACAACAGGCCTAATGGGACAATTGTGTTTGTGAATTTTAGGAAGTCCATATAACCTAGGTGTTATAGGGTTAGATATAATTAACTTTCTGTTGTTATATTTAGAGATAGTATCATTAAACAATTTAACCATTGCTTTTGTTTTATTAATAAAGGTGTTAAGTGGATTTTTTTCCAAAACTACAAAATTATTGTCTGACAGAAAAGATTCTACTTTTTCTATGTATTGAGTTTGTTCTAAAATTACAACACAATTTCCCTTATCAGCTTTGCTAAGGACTAGAGAATCTCTATCGATTTTTTGTTTAATTGATTTTAGCAAATCCTTATGTTTTTTAAAAGAATGATGATTTCTATGAAAATTACGTTTGTACTTACATTGTTGTTGTTGAAGTAAGCTAATGCAAGAATTTCTCAAATATTGTTTAATGTCAGCATTGTTTGTCATACCTTCTATTAGCGTGTCCAGCTCCACTGCAAATCCTCCCAGCACTGAGTCATTTAACCTAAAATTCTGACAAGAAAACTTAAGGCCTAATCCTAAAAAATACAATTCCTCCTGTGAAAAGTTGGTGTTACTTAGATTTAAGACTCTAGG